AGGGGTGAACCAAGGCCTTAAGAGGAGATGGAACAACCCCCTCACTCAAAGATGCATTAAGCATCACTAGAACCCACTCACATGACACCCTCCAGGCCGCTTTAACCAGCCAGGAGGGGCATGGATCTAAAGAGCAGGTGGCTGAGCTCACAGCCTCAAGGAACCCATCCACTTCCTCAGGTCCAACAGATTCAAATTGTTCCCAGATAACAGGGCAAGACTCCTCCCTAGGCATCTCCACAGGTCCTGCAGCAAAGCCAACATCCAACTGAGAACAAATCCAAACAATTTTATTTGACAGATGCCAGGAAAATTCCTCTGCACGTCCCTGCAGAAGGTTCTCCGAGCCATCGTTACCCAGGCGGGCTTGTGTCACCCGAAACAGGGCTGCGGGGTGGCTATCTGTGGACGCAATAAGAGTGGAGGAGTAATGATGCTTCGCTGCCCTTATTGCCACTAAGTAGGCATGAATAGCAGCTCTAACACATGTTTGGTTGAGTTTATCCTTCATCGAGTGCTAGTGATGCTCTAGACATCTCTTTTCTCACTTCCTCTCCCTTAGCACTTCTGTAAACCATGGAGAGTGCCGGGATCCCCAAGAGGAGAGAGGTCACATGGGCACAATCTGATCCTCAGCCACCCCTTTATTCCAAGTAGCAACCAAGGCTTTGACTATGCAGCAGACCAGCAGGAACAATCCTCCGCTCCCTCTGGAACCCATCAGAGTCTATTAGTTGCTGGGGGTGGACCGATCTAATGGGTCCGGCTTTCCTACAGTGGATAGTGGTGCTAGAGAATCCCATTGCAATCAGGGCATGATGTGACCATGACAAGGGACACCAAAAGCTCCCTCAATTTCATATCACATAGCCACTGCTCTGACAGGACCACCAGATCCGGTGTATGACCACTGTTCTGTGTCAGGCTATGAATGATTTGGGATAGGCCCATGGCCATCATGGTGGCCATGAACTCCCGAGCCACCTCAGACCCCACCCCTAGAGAAGGCATGTTGAAGTCTCCCAAGACCATAAGCCTGGGGAACTCTACTGCCAACCCAGAAACAGCATCAAGAAGCTTAGGCTGGGAAGCTGCTGTGCAGCAGGGAGGCTGGTACAACAACAGCAGTCCCAACTGATCCCTAGAGCCCAACTTAATGAACAGGGTCTCACATCTGGTGACCTGTGGTGCAGCGCCCCTGAAGGCTGTAAGAGATTCCCAGATGACAATCGCCATACCTCCACCCCTGCCCCAGACTCTTGGCTGATGCCACACTTGAAACCCAGCTGGGCATAACTCCGAGAGGGCTACTCCCCCCTCTGAATCCAGCCAGGTCTCAGTGATGGATGCCAGGTCAGATTAAATCACTGATGAGGGAGGCCTTATTACAGACTGACCTGGCATTTAGAAGCAGCAGCTGGAGACCACAGCCTCAGAAGGTCTGCTCACAGGGTACCAGGGCTGAGACTGAGGAGCTAGAATGCAAGACCGATAACAAACAACGGCCCCCCAGTCCCCAGGAATGGCCTGCTCCCCATCTCCCACCATATCTCCCCATGCCCATTTTGGCCCACCCCCATCCCCCCAACAGCACCCCC